ATAATAAATTAAAAATAAGTAAATAAGCCAGGCATGGTTGGTGGCACACACCTTTAATCCCAGCACTCAGAAGACAGAGGCAGGCAGATCTCTGTGAGATCAAGGCCAGCTGATCTCTATACTGAGTTCCAGGCCAGCTGAGGCTGGGAAACCCTGTCTCAAAAAGACCAAAAAAAACCAAAACAAAACAAAACAAAACAGGTAAATAAACATTTTTTTAAAGACATGGTAAGCCATGAAAGAATAAAAACAAAGACGAAGCCTGAAGGCACTTGCTAATCATCAAAGGTGGCAAAGTGGCCACAAGAGGCAAGTTGCCATTTCTGGAAAGCTGGATCAATGTGATTCAAGTTCTTTGACTGCCAAACGAGGAAACATAAGTACTTTGAAACTAATAAGGTAACAAATCCAACAAGGATTATCTAGGGAAAAAAAAAACAAAAAAAAAACCTGAACCCTTTTGTCCTAGACTCTTAGCAGGTGCCTGGCAGAGGAAATGAAATTCTGAAACACAGCATCCTAGGCCTCAAATTGTTCTAAAAATAGTTTTTAAAAAATAATTTGGGGGGCTGGAGAGATGGCTCAGTGGTTAAGAGCACTGACTGCTTTTGCAGAGGACCTGGGTTCGATTCCCTGCACCAGAAAGAGACACATCTTATATTTGAAACCAGGTTTGTCTCAAAAGCTCACTTTTAACCTACCAAGCTATACTGCTTTTCTTGTTAAAAACCCAGAAGTGCTGTGTGAAAATAGAATTAGCAATTATCCAAAGTTGGTATAAGAAACTGGCCATATAAAATTTTTTTTCTTTTTGCAAATTTTATAGACTACTTGTTTTCCCATGTAAAATGCATATGTCCATTGCCTTTTTGTAAAGCTTAAGAGGAAAGTGGGGGAGAGCATTTGAAGATAATTGCTGATAGCCTTTTCTGATCACTTGGCGAAGACCTACTTGGTTCTTGAACATTTGAATCAGATGTTACTTACGGAAAGCCTTCCCACATACTCATACCAGCCCTGCACAGGGCCTAGTTGTTCTTCCTGCCTACATCTCATTTTTGACACACTGTCCCTGGAGCTCAGGCTGGCCTTCAGCTCTGCAGTCCTCCTGCCTCAGCCATTGAAGCACTGGAATTGAAGGCCTGAGTGCCATTCCTAGTCTCAGCTGTGTTTCTGCTACTTCTCTAGGCTCCAGGGGATACTATTGTGAACAACTTACTGTAACGTCTATGTTTCTTATTCTGTCTTGTGTATTTTCATTTCTATGCTTCATTCTAGATAGGTCCTTCAACACACCTTCTAGTTTATCTGTTCTCAACTGTGTTTAATCTGCGGTTGGGTGTTTAAGTTGGTTATATTTTTCAGTTCTGAAATTTCTGTCTGATGATTCTTTTTCCAAATGGTACTTTTTGCAGTTCTTAGTTTCTTGTTGAACTTAAAAGCTTATCTTTATCTATATAAATATGGTAGGCATAATTGTATTCTAATTTTTCTAACTTCAGTATCAGTCCCTGATTGTTGCAGCTGTCTGTTGTGTTTGTTGATTCTTATATTGTCATGTGCCTCACTAATCTTTTTTGGAACTTTTTAAAACATTTACTTTATTTTTTTGTATTTTTTTATTTTTATTTTATGTGTAAGAGTATATTGCCTTCATATATGTAAGTGCACCTGCGTTATACAATTGCCTATGGAGGATGGAAGAGGGTGTTAGATTCTCTTGGGACTGGAGTTACAGATGGTTGTTAGCCACCATATGGGTGCTGGGACTCAAACCCAAGTCCTCTGCAAGAGCAGCCAGTGCTCTTAACCTCTGAGCCATCTCTCCAGCCCCCAGATTTACTTTATTTTTAATCATGTGTCTCTACGTATAGATATACGTATGTGAGTGTAGGTACCTTTGGAGGCCAAAGGCGTTGACTCCCCTGGAGCTAGAGTTACAGGCTGTTGTGAACTACCTGACATGATGCTAGGAATTGAACTTTGGTCCTCTGGAAAAGCAGTACATGCTCTTAATCACTGAACTCTCTCTCTGATCCCTATCAAATTCTTTCTTTAAAAACATTTTAAACCTTATTTTTATTTTATGTGTGTGTTTTGCCCGCATGTATTTAAGTGCACCACCTGTGTGCAGTGCCCACAGAGGCCAGAAGAGGGCATTGGATTACTGAAACTGGAGTTATGGACAGTTGTTAGCCTCTATGTGGGTGCTGGGTACTGAAACCACACCCTTTGCAAGACCAGTGACAGCTGGCCTGGTACTCACTATGTAGACCAGGCTGGCTCCACCCACCTCTGCCTCCCAAGTATGGATTAAAGGCATGTGCCACTACACCTGGCCCAAATTCTTTTTTTTTTAATATTTTATTTATTATTTTCATTTTATGTGTATGAGTATATTGCCTGCATGCGAGTGCACCCCTGTAGTGCAGGGCCAGAGAGGTCAGAGGGGGCGTCGATTCCCCTGGAACTGGAGTTAAGGACAGTTCGTGGCTGTTTGTTATGAGGCTAAATATTCTGACACATTCTTGCCCAAATAAGATCACATGGCAAGGTCAAGACTCTTCTCAGAAAGCAAATCTAAAAGACTAGTCAGCTAACACTTCACTGACTATAGACTATCAAGCAAGCAAATTATTTCACTTACTCTTCACAATGAACCCCTGTGGAAGACTGTCACAGTAATAACTTCCAATGCATCACACCACCCTGTCCATACTCCTTTCCAATGTCACTTTGCTACTAAAGAGGTAGTGGTAGGCCCCATTTCCCTTCTCCTTGAACTGCACTGGTCCTGTTATCAGCTTTCACCAGTATCACAGAGCTGATGTGAGACTTCTCAGACTAGCCTTAAGCTTTGCAGCTTCCACTCTAATCCTGTTAGGAAACCCTCGCAAAGAAAATCCCATAACAAAGTCCCAGCTAAACTACGGAATGCGAAAGAGACCCAGCCAACAGCCAGGTATGTGTATGTGTCCAGCCCTAAAAGAACTGCCCATCAAATTAATCTGCATGACTGAACCAGACAAGGTCAGGAAAGCTGCCCAAGCAACACACAGAATCCTGAGGAGGGAAAAAAGAGCTGTTTTACACTCTACTAAGTTTTTTGTTTTTTGTTTTGTTTTTTGTCTTTTTGAAGCAGGGTCTCCCTGTAGCCCCAGCTGTCCTGGAACTCACTATGTAGACCAGGCTGGCCTTGAACTCACAGAGAGATCCGCCTGCCTCTGCCTCCTAAGCGCTGGGACTACAGGCATGGGCCACTACGCCCGGCTATCCACTGGTTTTTTATTTATTAAACAGCAATAAACAAAAGAAGCACCCTATGGAGAGATACCTCTTTATCCAACTCAGAGCTAAAAAGGTAAATGGAAAATTGAAGTTTCTGAATTCTTTCAAGGTTTGAAAAGCTGGATTTCTCTGATAATGGTCTTAAATTTTCTTCAGAATAAAAAGCAAAGCAAATATGAGGAAATACATAAGCTAGCTTTACTTTCATCCAAATCTGTAAAAGTTATTAATACATAGAAGAAGAAGAAGAAGAAGAAGAAGAAGAAGAAGAAGAAGAAGAAGAAGAAGAAGAAGAAGAAGAAGAAGAAGAAGAAGCAGCAGCAGCAGCAGCAGCAGCAGCAGCAGCAGCAGCAGCAGCCATGAAGACATATTCAACTTATTTCCAAGGCTGGGCATGGTGGAGTATGTTTTTCATTCCAGCACTCTGGAGGCAGAGGCCAGCCTGGAATAAATAACAAATTCCAGGCTAGCCAAGGCTACATAATGATATCCTGTTTCAAACAAAACAAAACAATACAAAACACCCAACAACTTACTCCAACCCACAAAATATATCAATAATGTATTTACGGATTGCTTAATAGCAAACAAAACAATCCTATGGCTTTTTCTATGTACCAGGTACTCTACTAAAATTTTAAGTGTGTTAAGTATACACACACACACACACACACACACACAGTGACATCTGATAAAGTTATTTATTCTATACTATCGTTTTATTACACAGAAAAATGCTGCACAAAGTATTAAGCCCAAGATACAGAACTAAATTTCTCACTAACAAAGTAGAATTACATCTACTACCAAAGAAAAGGCAACACAGCCCTCATAGCCCATACATACACACCAATTCCAGGTTGTAAGCAAGCGTATTCCATGAACTGGATCAATGTGATCTCAACTGTCAGGATGTAAATATTAGGCTCAATCTGAGGCATAATTTAAACAGAAGGCATAGCCATTACAAAACAGAATGCTGTAAAATCTAAGAGAAAATTAATAAAACTGTTTGGCAACGGCTTGCAGGGCAAATACATGCCACAAATTTTAACTTGGAGCGGGTCCCTAAGCACTGTAAGATTTCGACAAAATTCCTAAGCAACCCTTGGAACCATCACTGTTGGTTGAGACATCCTTGATCCACGGCATGAAGTTACTTTCTGCCTACGTCCCCTTCTTCGGAGTCAGCGACAAAGTATCCAAAGCACAAGGACCCACAGACGACATGTACTGAGTAGTTCTGGACATGACATCGGCTCTACCTTTTAGCCCCTGTCAACTCTGAGAAGCCTTCTGTTCAGAAAACTCAGCATCAAGGTGGAGAATATAAATTTGCCCACATCAAGACCGGGCAGAGAGCTGCAGTAAAGAGACTTCAGATTCAGTGTACCGGGCGGGCCGGCGATAAGAGACTAAGAAAGGCAACAACGGCCGAGGGAGCCGCCGTCGTCAACCCAATCACGCTTCCAGAAGCCGAAGGACTCCGGAGGGGATGCTATCCAGGAAGCCGGCAGTCACCCGGTCTTAGGGCCTTGGACCCCAGACGCGGTCCCCAACAGCTTCCAGCATTTCCCAGGCCGGCCGACCTCAGGCCCGCCCCCCTGCGTCCTCGGGCCTAGCCCTAGCTTCACGCCCTAGAGCCTCCAGTACCTCAAGGAAGGTCAATTTGTGGCTTCCTTCCCACCACTATGCTCCTAGGATATACTCACTTGCCCGCCAGATCTTTATGAGAGCCGCTCGAATTCATGAGCTGAGCCAAATCCTGTCGCACGCCCGCCGCCATCTTTCTTCCAGCTCAGCCACAGCTGCGGGACCTCTCGCAGCCAAAAAGAAAACGAGTGTGGTCCTCCAGTGGGCAAGCAGAGGGAACCCGCGGTACGATAGAGTAGCGTCTTTGTGGGCCAGAGCGCCGAGGACGCGAGCCGGAATTAGCTCCGCCCCCAGGGTTGAGTGACGCGAAGCTCCTCTCCTCCAGCCTGAGGCCCGCTAGGGCGTCTCGCGGAAACGCTGGCTCTCACGCTGCGACTTGGGATTGGCTGAAGAACTTGAAGGTGGTGTGTCGCTTGTGCAATTTCAGTAAGGGCCGGGTATGTTAAACTACAGTGTCTTCAATAAGTTCCGTGTCTCACGTCTAAGGCTATAGTTCTTACTTATGTCGGGCGTTGGTTAAATTCCGCGTGGTGAAGAATGACTTGCTTTTATTTCCAATTCACTACAGTTCAATGCTTTTAAAAAAACCTACCTGGCAGGGAAGATAGCATGCTCAAGATGTTCTCCCAGGTGAAGCGCTGCCATTTAGCTCTGCTGAGCTCTGCGTTGCCCCACAGGTGAGAAACTCGACTGCATAATTTGTGGTTGTGGAATGCGTTCGCGTATTCCCCTGCCAAAAAATAACCAGTCTTGGTGACACTCGCCTGTAGTACTACTGGAGAGGCCATGGCAGGAGGATCAGGACTTGAAGTCCATTCTCCCCCACTTATTAGCAAGTTCTAGGCCAGCCTGGATTACCGAAAACACTGCCCCCTTCCAAAGTCTGATGCATAGTATATATTTAGTATGTATACACACACATACACCCGTAGGTTATGTATGTATATTCCTTTTCACCATTCCACCCTTTATCTTTTTAAAGTTGAGATTGATCAACTTTGTCCAGGATACTATTTTTCATCTGTTGTCCTGAAGTAATTATTAATAACACTACCTTTCACTCTAGAAATGGTTCTATTTGAATGGCAAGTCATATGGTCATCTTTACATGTGATTATGTTCATTAACCATGTGTCCTTATAAAAGTTCTTTCTGCAAATACAAGAAAATAAATGTAAAATTTTGTCTTCCTTTCACAAAAAGTAACACACCTTACTGTTCTGCCCTGATGTTTTCACTTTTCCTAGAGATCCTACCATATCCAATCTTTAAAATATGTACATTTAAAAAGCTGGAAAATATTAAATAATGAGGGTATGTGATATTCGATTTAGTCCTTGTAGGATATATTGTGATTTTTAATAAAACACTCAGTGCTGCAGTTAATAATCTTATATGTGCATCATTTAAGATATGTACAAGTAGGGGCTGGAGAGATGGTACAGCGGTTAAGAGCACTGGCTGCTCTTCCAGAGGGCTGAACACACACATGGTAGCTAACAACCATCAGTATCTCCAGTTCCTAGGGATCAGATGACCTCTTCTAACCTGCACAGACATTACATGCACATGGTCTCTTACATATATGCAGGCAAAACACTCATATACATTAAAAAATAAAGTTTAAAAAGATATGTGCAAGTAGAATCTGGTGTGGTGGCACACACCTTTGGGAGACAGAGGCAAGCAAATCTGTGTGAGACTGATGCCATCTACGTACTGAGTTTCAGCCCGGGTGGAACTACAAGGAAAACTTGTCTCAACCTCCCTCCAAAACAAAACAACTCCCCCCCAAAATATATGTATAAATAAAATACATTCCTAAGTAAGTCAAAAGGTACGCATGATTTTTGGTAGATATTGCCAAATTACATTTATCAAGAAGAGTCTATCATTTTGACCTCCAATCACACATATTCAAGAGTGCAATTTCTGACAGCCTTACCTATAAACAATGCTAAACTTGAAAAAAAATGCCATTTTGATACGTGAGAAATGGCATGTTCCCTCTCTTGGGCCAGGGAAGGAAAATTACCTAGAACAAGGAATTCTTTAAAAATTAAAAAAAAAAAATAGGGTTGCCTACACCAGTCCAAGTTACATTCTACTGACCTGAATCCTAGCAGCAATGGGGACTGGAGAAATGGGTTGGCCCTTGAGAGCACTGGCTGCTCTTGTAGAAGACCTGGATTCAGTTCCTAGAACTTACATTGTGGCTAACGACTATCTGTAACTTCAGTTCCAGGTGATCTAACACCCTCTTCTGGCCTCCAGGAGCACTGCACACACAGTGCACTTACATACATGTGGGCAAAACATGAATATAAATAAATAAGAATAAATCAATCAATGGGGCTGGAGAGATGGCTCAGCAGTTAAGAGCACTGGCTGCTCTTCCAGAGGACCTGGGTTCAGTTCCCAGCACCCACATGGGGCCTAACAGCTGTCCTCAACTCCAATTCCAGGGAATACAATGCCCTCTCTGACCTCTCTGGGCATTGCACGGCATGGGTGCACTTACATATGTGTTGGCAATACACTCATACACAAAATAGTAAAAAATAGGGCCTGGAGAGATGGCCCTATTTTTGCAGAAGACCCAGGTTTGAATCCCAGCATCTACATGGCAGCTAACAACTATCTGTAACTCCAGTTCCAGGGGATACAACAGCCCCTTCTGTCCTCCACAGGCATTGCACAACATGGGTGCACTTACCTACATGCAGGCAATACACACACATAAAATAAAAATAATAAACGTTTTAGAGAATAAAAAAATTGTAAGGTGGATCAGGCCTTTTGGCTCAGTCCTGTCTGTAGGCAACTTAGTGAGACCCTGCCTCAAAAGGGTTTTTAAAAAAGAAAAAGGAAAAAAAAGTTAGTAATATACCTCAGTGGTAGAGGTAAAGTACTTGCCTAGGACTATGTGTGAGGCCTTAGATTCAATTCCCTGTCCTTGAGGGAGGGAGGGAGAGAGGGAGGCAAAAATGGAAGAAAAGGGGAAGAGAGGGAGGGATCAGCTGTCTCTACTACAGCCTGTCCATCTGACCACCAAAGTATCTGTGAGTCCTTCTGACAATCAAATATCCTTCCTCCCTAAGACAGTTCAATTTCCCATTTTCCTCTTCAGTTTTGTCAAGAGATAAAATTACAACAATTTAAGAATTTTTAGTTGGATATACATTTTAATTTTTTAATCAGGCAACACTTCATAACTAGAATAAATCGTCTAAGGAACCAATAAAAAAAAAGAAAGGAAACAAAAATGAGCCCAGCATGGTGGGTCACACCTGTAATATCAATACTCAAGAGGCTGAAGGAAGAGGACTGTTGGAAGTTTGAGGCTGTCCTGGTATATGCAGTGAGTCTGAGATTACAGAGTGAGATTCTGTCTGAAAAAATGAGGTGGGTATAGTGGTACACACCTTTAATCCCAGCACTCGTAACAGAAGCAGGTAGATTGCTGCGAGATCAATGGGCCGGGTTGGGATGGTCTACATAGCAGCCAGCTGGGGCCACATAGTGAGACCCTGTCTCAAAATAAATAAATAAAAGTGTTGATTGGCTATTTTAAAGTTATTTTCTTTGGAAGGCAGGGATAGAGCAAGTTTTTTTGTTTTGTCTCTTTGAGACAGGGTCTCCCTGTAGCCCTGGCTGGTCTGGTTTTTGAAACGGTTTCCCTGTAGCCCCAGCTGGCTTGGAGCTTACTATGTAGACCAGGCTGGCCTTGAACTCACAGAGATCCTCCTGCCTCTGCCTTCCAAGTGCTAGGACTACAGGCGTGTGCCACCACGCCTGGCTTGAGCAACGTTTTTTTTAAATCTCAGATTGCTTTAGGTTAACTTTTTTGGTGAAATTATAAAAGTTTGAGGTAGCTTCATCATTGTGGTAACTGAAAGTGCTTATTTGAGAAATCTCTCTAATCTTGGTTTCTCTGAAGGTGAAATAAGTAGCTTGCTTTCAGCTTGGTGACATTAAATGTCTTTAGGGTAAGAGTGGGAGCTTAGTCCAAAGCAATGTGTTCCTGTAATTTTATCTGACACTTCTTTCATCAGTTCCAAGTTTGGGATGTTAAAAAATACTTTTAAAGGGGCTAGAGAGATTTCTTAGTGGTTAAGAGCACTAGCTGCTCCTCCAGAGGACCTGGGTACAGTTCCCAGAACCCATGGTAGCTAATACTTCCTTGACTCCAGTTCCAGGGGATCTGATGCCCTCTTCTGACCTCTGCAGGTATTGCATGACATGGATTCACTTACATGTGTGCAGGCAATAAATACACTCATATAAACATAAAATAAAAATATAAATAAAATATTTTTAATTAATACAATCTTTTAAAAATGTTTTTATGCTTTCTCGCTCCCTGGCCACCTTGGCAGCTGTTCTTGGTTGGGGCCATTCGCACCTAAGGCAGGAAGACGGTGGCCACAAAGAAGACGAAAAAGTCTCTGGAGTCGATCGACTCTAGGCTCCAGCTTGTTACAAAAAGTGGAAAGTACATGCTGGGGTACAAGCAGACTCTGAAGATGATCAGACAGGGCAAGGCCAAATTGGTCATCCTCACCAACAACTGCCCAGCTTTAAGGAAATCTGAAGTAGAATACTATGCCATGTTGGCCAAAACTGGTGTCCATCACTGCAATGGCAATAATACTGAATTGGGCGCAGCATGCAGAAAATACTACAGAGTCTGCACACTGGCTGTCATCAAGCCAGGTGATTCTGATAGAAGTGTGCCAAAGCAGACTGGTGAAAAGTAAACCTGGAAAGTTTTTCTTTAATAAAAACTTGGCAGAGCTTGTTTTTTTTTAAACAAACAAACAAAAACGTTTTTATACACAGGAAATGGTGACCAGGGAGATCACACAGTGTATAAAGTGCTTGATGCATAAGCATGAGGACATGAGTTTAGAGTCCTAGAACTCATAAAAGGGCTGAGCTGAGACAGGTGAATCCTGGATGCTTGCTAGTCAGCCATTGTAGCTGAAACAACAAGTTCCAGGTTCAATGAGAGACCCTGTCTCAAAAAATAAAGTGGAGTTAGGCAGAGGAAGACCACTGAGGTCCACCTCTGGCCTCCAACTGTGCATACACGGGCAAGTACACATACACATGTACTCTAACAGCGCACACACACACACACACACACACACACACACACACACACACAAAACTAGGATGTTTGGTGAGGTAAACTCCTTTCCATCACAATGGGATGTGAATGGATATATATAATTGATGTGCCCAAATACCTGACAAGAACAAGAAGTAACTTAAAGAAGGAAAGGTTTACTCCGACTCAGCTTGAGGGTACAATAAGTACATCATGTGAGGGAAGACACGGTGGGAAAGGCATGAGCATAAGGCAGCTGGACACATAGTGTCACTATAATGAAGCAAAGAGAAAAGAATGCTGGTTATCAGCTAGCTTTTTCCTTTTTAAATGTTTATTTACTTTATGTGTGTAGCTGTTCTGCCTGCGTGTCTCTAGGTGCACCCATGTGTACAGTGCCTGAGCAGGCCAGAACTAGAGTTACAGACAGTGCTTAACAGCCATGTGGGTGCTAGGAACTGAACCTAGGCCCTCTTTTTCTTTTTGAGGTAGGGTCAACCTATAGCCATAGTTAGCCTGGAACTTTCTAGGTAGACCAGGCTGGCCTCAATCTCACAGAGATTTACCTGCCTCTGCCTTCCAAAAACTGGGATTAAAGCAATGTGCTACCATACCTGGCTCAACCAGTGCTCTTAAGCACTGAGCCATCTCTCCAGCCCCAGCCCCTAGCTTTTTCTTTCTGTTTAGTTCAGAACCCTACTCCATCAGTGGTCCTGCTCACATTCAGAATGGGTCTTCTCACCTCAACCAAACCTTTCTGAAAACAGCCTCATAGATGCACTAAGAACTATATTTCCATGGTAATTCTAAATCCAGCTGAGTTGACAATGAGGATTACTGTATGTATGTATGTATGTATGTATGTATGTATGTATGCATGTGTAAAATGATCCACCCCATACCACATGTGTAATTCAAAATAATAATGGAAATGGAACAGCCACCATTAAAACTCAGGAAAAGGAAAAATGGAAAATACTTAGCAGCTACTAGTCCACAGCAATGGCAGAAGCCAAGATAAGAATTATGACTATCCATTGCCCTGGTGGGAGATGTGTTTCTTGGTTATAACTTGACTCTATACTCAAAAAAGGATTTTCATTTTCCATTGTATTATATGGGCCCAATCTTTGCCCATTGACTGGTAGGATGCCCCTTCATTCCGCAGGAGATAGTTCCAAGACACCCCAAGTAGATGCCTGAAAATTCCACTAATACCAAACCCTATATATACCATCTTTTTCTATATATATGCATATCAAAAATAAAGTTTAAGTTATAAATTAGACACCTTAGGAAATGAACATTAATAAGTAATTCAAAAGAACAGTCATAACAACAATATATTATAGAAAGTTATACAGATAGTTTCTCAAAATATCTTATTTACTGTAGATCTTAGCAACCTCTACAAATGATTAACTTTCCTTATTGTGAACTTTCACCTTTTCACTTAAACCAACTTCTCTTTGGCATATTAAAATCACCAGCATTGCTACTGTTAGCACTTTGAGGGCATTTCTTAAATGCAAATACTGTAATAGTGCATAGTAGATCTGATAATCAGGACAGCTACTAAGCAATTAGTAGAAAGGTAGCTATATACATTGTGGATTCACTGGGCAAAAGAATGATTCATTTCCTATGCACTACTGAAAACAAAGGCAAGAGATTTTACAATACTACTCAAAATAGTGCTCAACTAAAAACTTATGAATTGTTTATTTCTGGAGTTTTCTACTTAATATTTTCACACTGCAGTTAAGTATAGGTAATTGAAATCTCTGAAAGTGAAATCACAGATTTGGAGTTGTTATATAAACTAGCTGGATGTTGAGCTCTTCTTCCTCCCTCCCCCCCACTCCGAGAGTTCATTAGGGATTTGAACAATTAAGAGCTCGTACAGGCCAGGCTTCTATATTTTTGTTACTATAATTTCTTTAACTATTCAGAAATCCTCAACAACTTGCTTCCAGACAGTTCCTGATGCCCAAGTTCTTCCTAGAAGTAGGTGTTACATTTGCCCTACGTTGTGCCATCCATAATCAACCATTTATTCTCTCCTTCCCTCCTTTCCTTTCCTTAACCCTCCTGATGATCCTTTTTATCTGGTTGGTTGGGCTTGGGTTTCAATTTGTTTTAATTTATTTTATTTTATGTGTATGAGTGTTTTGTCTGTATGCATGTAAGTATACCCCACATTCATGCAGTGCCTGCAGAAGCCAGAAGAGGGTGTCAAAGTTACAGAGGGTTGTTAGCCACCATGTGAGTCCTGGGAACCAAACTAAGTCCTCTGCAAGAACAGTCAGTGCTCTTAACTGCTGAAGCATCTCTCTAGCCCCCTGTGTTTTCCATTTGTTTGTTTGTGTGTGTGTGTGTGTGTGTGTGTGTGTGTGTGTGTGTTTTTGTTTGTTTGTTTGTGAAAGGGTATTACTATTCTGCTCTGGCTGACCTGGAACTCATCTAGCCAAGGCTTGCCTCCAACTCATAGAGATCCACCTGCCTCTACCATCTGAATGCTGGAATTAAAGGCTTGTACCACCATGCCTAGCCAATGATCCTTTATTTAAACATTTTCCTTTGTAGTTTGCCATCTAGGCATTCCATTGCACAATTATTGATCTCCTTTTTTATATCATGAATATAACAAACATCAACAGTATAGCCATGGATTTGGGAGTCTCCAGAACAGATTGATTCCAGAGACTTCCCTAGATAAGTACAGGTACTACATCTGTCAAATAATGTTGACAGTCTCATTGAATGTGGCATTTCCACTGTGTTTAATGTTTGTTTCTATCTATCTGTTCCTTCAGAGCTTTGGTGATCAAGGACAAAGCAGAAAGTATGACTTTAATCTGAGCCTATCTGTTTGAATGGTCAGCTTCACTGTACTTTTCAGACCCTTCCAGTCACTGTGTCTCTTGGTGATGTTATCACCAAGCCTTTTTTGGAAACAGACCCAGGGGGCTGATCTTGGAGGATCAAGAACATGTAGCACAGACTCCACAACTTTGATTTCATTGGGGTCAAACAAGTGGTGTAGTGAAGTATCTGGTACTGAATGAACCCAGATTCAGAAAAACCTGAAGAAAGTTGCATCTTGCCTTCTCCAAGCCCAAAACTAAAAGCCAGTGCATGCCTCTGTGTGTGTGTGTGTGTGTGTGTGTGTGTGTGTGTGTGTGTACATGCATGTGTAGGCCAGAGATCAATGCTAAGTGTCTTTCTCTGTTGGTCTCCACCTTATTTTCTGAGCCAGGGTGTCTCACTAGCCCACCCACAGCTTGTGGATTGGCTAGACTGGCTGGTCCACAAGCCCCCTGGCCACCTGTCGTCTTCCTCCTGTGGCCTGGGGATCTGAACTCAGGTCTTCATGTTCAAATGGAAAGTATTTATCTACTTAGCCATCTTCTAGTACCTTTGGATTCTTTGTAGTTTTGGTATTTGGGTTTTTTGTTTTTGTTTGTTTTTGTTTTTTGAGACAGAGTCTCATGTAGCCCAGGATGACCTTGAATGTCTGACCCTTCAGCTTCCACTCCTCAAATACTGGAATTACAGACATGTGCCTTCAGTCCTAGATAGGCAATGCCTTGTTGCGCATGTATGTGTGCACTATATGTATATGTTCTTATATGTGCGTAGAGGTTAATGTCAGATATCCTCTTCTATCACTCTCCACCTTATTTTCTGAAACTGGAAGCTCACCAATTGAACCCAGAGTTCTCCAACTGACGAGGCTGGTTGGACAGTGAGTTCCAGGGAATCTGCCTATTTGCCGTCCCCTTGAGCATTGGGGTTACAGACACTACCATGTATACCACCATGCACAGCTTTTACATATGTGCTAAGATTCTGAATTCAGGTCCTGATGCTTGTCTGGCATGCACTTTACCAATTGAGCCATCTTCCCAGCCCTATGGAAATCATTCTTAATGTCTAATTTTTAATATTATAATTTAATTTTATTTATTTTATGAATGTTTCTTCTGCATGTATGTAAGTGCACCATGTGCCTACAAAACCTCAGAGGCAGAAGAGGGCATCAGATCCCCTAGAACTAGATTTACAGGCAATTGTTAGCCGTCAAGCCAGGTCCTCTGCAAGAGCAGCCTGTGCTCTTAACCACTGAGCCATCTCTTCAGCCCCATCTAATTTTTAATGGTGGCAACCCAGAAGTCATCTGAAAAAATAGTCTTAATTGAGAAGATAATTTTATCAATTTGGTTTTGCTTATGCTTCTCTTTGTTTTCTGTTGGCTTTTGTTTGTGTTTCTCAATAAGTCTTAAAGGGAAAAAAACCTAGGCTAAATCTCTAAGCCAAGTGCCTTCTCCTGCTACTTAGAAGTATGTAAACATTTGGCAGGCTCAACATAGTGAACATCCAGAATTTGTAGTTATTTTAGTTTCTTTTTGCCTTTACTTAAAATTAGATCTGTAGGGTTTTACTGAAAGCAACAAAAATCAGCCACATGTATAAGGTAGTTCTTTCCATATATAAAGCCACTATCTGGAGAGGGCAATTGTTGTCAGGAGCAATTTTACTAAATATTTTAACATGTAAAAGGCTTCGCACTTTGCTGTAGAGTGCTAACCTAACTAGTGCAAAGCCCTGGGTCTAATAACACCATTTTTGTGGGTGGGAATCTCC